AGCGCTGAATCCTAAGAGACCCTGTAGACTGAGGGGGAGACAGTCACCCCTCTGGTCCAATCAGTCAGCTTCAATTGCATGAAGGGGCGGGTCTAAGGACAGACACCGAGGAAGCTGGGAACCTTGCCATCTTGGCTGGGTGTAGGAGTGGTGCTGGTGAGGTGCTGGCAGTGGCGGATCTCAAAAAGCTCAGGTGAGACGTAGAGGAAAGAGCCCACGAATGTATGCCTTTGTGAGTAACTTTTTTGGACATCATAAACTTTATACAAAAACCCAAATCGATTGCATGGTGTCTGTTTTGTTGGTTGGGTATTAGGAAAGTTTGGGCCTGGGAGCCAAGAGAGTGTGTGCGGGTCTCCCAGGAGAGATGCTGGTATTACAAATTGACATAGTTCCATACACAGGATACGACAAACTGCAGGAGTTTGGGAAGAGCAATGAGGATATCTCTGATAGGGAGAAAGGCCAATTAAAGTTGGGGGCGGGGAAAGCATGGACATCCTCAGGAGCTTAATGGGGTTAGCAGTAGTCACATGGGTTACGTGCTGATAAAAGCCCCAACAGCACTGTAGCCAGCAGAAATTACTCCACACTGGAGCTGTTGGAGCTAGGGAAAAATTTAAAACAAGCAATAAAGGTTCGCCTCACCACGTGGCTCCTGAGGATATGGAACATGGGAGAAAATGACATTAATTTCAGTCCTTCAAAAGCATCACAGCTGAGTTATATAATGACTCATCCATCCTTGAGTCATAGGCTGTTTAACCTAGGCCAATACAGGGGAAAGCAATCCCTAAAGAAATGGCTTGTGCAAGGTATTAAAGATACTTGGTCATCACGAATGGAGATTTCCAGGATTAGCAGGGGCTGGAGGACCATAGAAGAGAGACAGGCGTTACTGAGAGAACTAAGTACAGGGAAAGCAATATATGATGCCAAGTTTGCTGGGCCAGATAGGACTGTGTTTACCAGGGATATATAAATTAATTCAACAGGGACCTCGAGAATGGTATGGAGCTTTAATGGTTTTACTAAGTCCTGTAATGGGGAAGGATCTTTGTAAAGTAAGGGAGGCTTTGGCAGATCTAAGTGACTCAAATCAGTGTGTACAACCTGGCTGTAATAGGGTACACCAACCTACAAGAGGCATAAAGAAGGCAAGGCAGAAATAGAGGTACGTTTGGGTTACTGGAAGACAGATGTGGCAAGCAAGCTTCATACAGAGCCCAAGGTCCTAAAGAAAAAGATTGACAAAAAAAAAATTCTGTACTAAGGAGTTTCTGGAAGGTTTTAAAACTAAGGAGCAGTTCATAAAAGATATACAAAGAATAAAAACTGTCTCAGGGGTGGTTAAGGATCCACAAAGATTAAACCAGGTACATTTCTCTCCTGAGAAAGGCTACATTAGGGGTGGAGGCAGTTTTTCCCACCAAGGCCTTCCCCAGCAGCCAGCTATGGTCAATGGAGAGATGGCAGCTATTGCCAGGAGACAGACCCAGGGCCTGCCTGACTTGGGGAACCAACAGGTACAGCAGGGGCAAGAGGGACCCTCTGCCTCCTTAGCCCACTGCAGGGTCAGTCAACTTGAGCCAGCACCCATGAGTTCATCAAGGATAAAAAGATGCAGAGAAGTTCCATGCAAAATCCCCCAAATATGGAATGACTCCAAAGAGATAACTAAAGATAGTAAAGAACTAACCAAGTTAATGCCTCTTGTCCATGCTGTGGTACTCAACAGAGAAAACAATTAATATAAATAGCAAAAGGAAATGGGTCTTTCCTTGCTATGTTAGACCTTGTCTATGTTTGATTTAATATATATATTATAGACAAAAATTGTCAATATATATATAAAATATATATACATATACATATATATGCTTATATATATAAAAAGTTAACCTCTGGGTGTTTTAGGGAGGTGAAGCCCATTTCAGAAACATCAAGTACACCTGAACAAACAAAGGCCAGCTATAGCTGTAAGATTCTTGGGAGCTTTATGGTTGGGTAAGACCCAAATGATACCCATCAGAATGGTTGAGGAAAGTCTACAACAGCCTAATCCTATATAAAAATAAGAACAAAGGCTCCCAAACTGTGCAATTGTTAAGTAAGAATTATAGTACCAGGGATGGGTTGTTCCCCTGTGAGCTGTTGGTCAGAGAGATCCTAGAGGTCCTCAAATTAACCAAGGCTATTGCCACTAATGTCAGTCGTACACTAGAAAGGTCGGTAAGGTCATGTTGCTGAAGGCACTGCATGATGTGAGCACTGGAGGACAGATGGAGCTGAGACTAAGCTGAAAACTCCATATCCTTGGGTGGGTGGCTTTCATAGTGCCAGAAGGTACTGTGTAGATGGTTGGGGGAGAAGGATCCCCTATAATTCTGCTCAGTGACGGACCCTACTTGCTGTACTCTATTGACATGCCGACCAATGCCTGCTGATGCAATAATAGCTCAACTAACATACATACAGCCAATACATATCTAATTGGATAAAGCCCACTCCTGGGGGGGAGGAACACATATCTGGTGCCATAGACCAGGCCAACCCCCTGTGTCAGGGAAGGTTATAGGCCCCAGTGGGGAAGCTGCTGCAGGTATTTTGTTCAATAAATATGATGCACCTGCTAAAATGTCTTTTAGGCATTTGTATTTACACCCATGTTTGTTTAGATGTGCGTGCTTTTTTCCATTGGTCTTTATAGTAGGAGGGACACCTCTGAGATGGATCAGGAGCCATGTGTTGAAAAGGGATGATGGGGGAGGCCCAGGAATTCAATATCTCCCCACAATAAAAGAAAGATCATCCTGCATCTGTCACCCTGTCTAAGGTTCAGGGATTCTTGCAGAAGATGGGCGTACAGATTGTGAGAGCCCGAGGAAGGGGTGGAATGTTGGACAGGCAGGTCCTTTGAGAGAACAAGCACTGAACTCTAAGAGATCCCATAGACAGAGTGGGAACAGTCACCCTCCCACCCAGTTGGTCAGTTTCAGTTGTATGAGGGGGATGGTTTAAGGACAAATGCTGATGAAGCCGGGAAGTGGTGCAGGAGGGGGGGGGCTATCTTGATGGGGTGCTGATGCGGCACTAGCAGGGTGCTGACGGTGGTGGATCTCAAAAAGCTCAGTTGAGATCTAGGGGAAAGAGCCCATGAATGTATGCCTTTGTAAGTAACTCTCTTTCTGACATCATAAACCTTATACAAAAACCGAAATGGAATGCATGGTGTCTGTTTTGTCAGTCAGGCATTAGGACAGCATGGGCCTGGGAACTGAGAGAGTGTGTGCCGGTCTCCCAGGATAGAATTTGGCAGTACACCATCAGACACTCTTTTTATTCCCACTGAAAAAATCTAATTTTGTTGAATGCAGCAAATTTTATTAAATGAGCTGCTGTCACCAGCCTCCTTGCATGGAAGGAGCGTCCTATGATAGATGTCCGTCCTACAATAGGTAATAGGTGAGGGAGTAGGGCTTACGGGGAAGCTGTATTCATATAAAAGGTGTGACTTTGATTTTAAATGCTTTCTTCCTGTCTTAACTAACTGTAATGGCCAAGCTAAGACCACCATTCTCTCTCAGTTATGAGCAAAAGACTAGAGAGTTGGAGACAAGCTAGTCATGTCATCCTTGAGCTCAAGAGTCCCCTTAATTTCAGACTGTTAGTAAAATGAGAATAGCAAACCCTGTATTTTCTGTTCACATTTCACCTTTCTTATATTTTAGTGCCTTTCTGATTGATACAGCAGCATATGGGTTGGTCAGATGTCTCCAGTTCAAAGGAATACATTAAATACATGAAAGAGGGAAGGAATGTTTGATGAAGTTTAATAAGAACTTCATCAATAAGTTTAATAAATAGCAGCTGTTTTTCTTTATTTAGGCAAAGAATGGATGAAGAGGATGATGGGATGGATACCTCTGGTCCTTGGGGGTTCTTAACCTCTGATTGAGGACCTCGACTCAGTGACCTCCAAAGTTCTGTTCTCTTTACTCCTGAAAGCCTATGCTTACAATTAGTTCTGTTCTTTCACTGAGTCTGGAAGTTATATAAACACAGGGACATTGATTCCTGAATGTAAGGAGGAGCGTGTATGTGGCCTCAGTTTTCTCCCTAAAATCAATGAAGGCTGAACAGAAAAAAAAAAAATCACTGAGAGACAGTGCAGGTCAGTTTAAGTTGTAGTATATGAATTATTCATGGTTAGGTCTGTGAGTTCTGGTTTTTCTCCAAAAGTGTTCCATAAGATGCGAAGTACAGGGCTGGGCTGCACAGGGAATGTTCTGATCAGCTCGCGTGAAAGACAAAGTACAGTGTGAAAAATATACATGTGCAACAAAAGTGAAGGTGTAAACATTTCTGAGCACTGTCTAAGGTTTTACAAAGAGCTAGTATTTTGGAAAATTTCTACTTTTAAAAATGTTGGTTTTCTTTTACTTGTTAAGATATACATATATATGTATGTATATAAATTTTTGTTGACTATATGTCTTGGAAATAACTCCTATTCCATAATAATTTTTTCCATTCTCTGTTGGATGACTTTTCATGAGACTAATTCTTATTATTTCATATAGTTTGTTAGTGTTTTGGGTAAGAACTTGGTCTATCTATTTGGAATGATGCTATCTTATAAATGCTACATAATGAAGTTTTACCACTTTTTTGTAATGATCTAGGCAAGACTGACCAGGAACTGATTTATATGCAAGGAAATTTCCTTTTGAAATGTGCTAAGGTTTTGTAGCAATAATGGATTTGAAATTTATCAAGTACTTTTCTGTATCTATTGAGATAGTGATTTTCTTCTTTATGCCTTTAATAGGGAAAATTACACTGAGTTGTTTACTCTTTTCAACTTTTCTGGGAGTGTGTTCAATCGATTGTGTGATTGCAGTCGTGAGTGCCATGGTGCACACGTGGAGGTCAGAGGACAACCTTGGTGCTGGCCCTCACCTCCCGCTTTGTTTGCAGCAGGGTCTCTAGCTGTTTGTGGCTGTGCAAGCCAGGCTAACAGGACTGAGAGCTTTAGGGGTTCTCCTATTTCCATCTCCCGTCTCACCATAGGAGCACTCTGATTACAGATGTATGCTACTGCATTTGGCTTTACTTGGGTTCTGAGGACCTGAAGTCAGATCCTCACGCTTGCATGGTGAGTGCTTCATCCACTAAGCCATCTCCCTAGCATCTAAAACTGAATATCTTGAGAAAAGAAACTCCATTGTATTCCTGGAGTACTTTCAATCTTAGCCATCTACATGACTTTTATATGGTTGGAATTGGAGTATTTTGCTTATGATTCTTGTCTGAGTTTATAGTACTTCTGATGTTCAGGCTGCCAAATGTCTAAGTTGAGGAGTTTCCTGCCTTTGTTCTGCTGGGCCATGCTGATTTATTTCTACCTAAAGGCTGTTATTACTCACTGGTGAAACCAACCTTACCCAGAGTTTTCTTTTCTATTTAATAATTATTTTATTTTTTGAGAATTTTGTACATGAGTATTGTGTTTGCATCATTTCCATCCCTCAGACCCCTCCAACTCCTCCCATGCCCCCCACACCCTCTCAATTTCTTGTCTTCTTCTTTGACTGCTATTGTCACATGTACATATAAACATTTACAAATATACAGCTATAATGCGCTGAGTCCATAAAGTGGTGCTCGTGTGTACATGTGTTTAAGGCTGACCATTTTGAATTAGATAACCTATCCCTGAGCTCATTCTTGGAGCAAACTGATTCTCCCTTCCTCATTGGTGCCTGCAGCTCTTCATCTAGAGGTGGGACCCTGTGGAATTTCTTCCATCTTCATTAGCATGTCAACTGGTGTGGTCTTGATAGGTTACCATACTGTGGAAATTTCACGGGTATATTTTCCCTTTCATGTCTAGAAACTGTTATCTAGCAGTAGGTGTCCTGTTCTTCTGCTTCTTACAATCTTTACATCCTCTGTCCCCTCTTCCATGATGTTTCCTGAACATTCAGTGTAGGAGTTGTACTGTACATGTATCAGTTAAGTCTGGGCATCCCACAATCACTCATTCTGTGTATTTTGATTAGTTGTACATCTCTGTAATAGTATCCATTTTCTGAAAAAGAAGCTTCTTTGGTGAGTGGCAGGAGATGCTCTTGCCTGTGAATATAAGTATTTAGTGTATAGTGAGAAATGACATTGGTCAAGGCAAGTGGCAGCAGAGGGTTCTCTCTGGGGCCTGTGTCCTCTCCACTCATGTGTATGTGGTTATGTTTACAGTACTGTGCATGGATTCTCTCTTACTGAGTGGGTCTTAGGTCCAAATAGACAGATATTGTTTACTCCCAAGATAAACGTGTGACTATTGCACCAATAGAGATATTTTTCTCTGCTGGTCATTGTTGTGGTTTGTAAACACTGCAGACGAGTAGGATCATTGACTGGTTTTCTCTGGCAGCTTCGTAGCTCCTTCTGACATTGTGAGAGCTAATCTTCATGAAGGAGCTCTCCAGGTCAGTCAGTTCCAATTCAGTTGCTCCAAGTCCCATGTTAAAGTATGTGATGTCTTCAGCAATAGGATGTTACCTTCATGTTCTGGGAGGCACCAAGGGCTATGGCAATGGCCTGTATTATTTTGGAAGTCTCTTGGACTACCCTGACCAACAATTCAAAGGGAAGCTTCCTTTGCCTTGCACTGGTTTTTTGTTAGAGAACCTTCAGCTATACAGACACCCTTACATATATATTATACGTGTACTTTTAAGTAGGCTTATGAAATAATATTTTTCCCTATGGTTTTTCAGATGCCCTTACTGTTATCTTTCTTTCCTCGCTCTTTCCCTGTATAATACTCCTCCCTCTTCCATTTAAAGTACCCCTCATTTTTCCCATTTCCTTCTTCATAGTGCCTGTGACCTACCATCCCTGTTTCTTGAGCTCCTCCTCCATGGTCCCTTTCTGCTTTCCCAATTAGAAAATCCAGGGGGAAATTATTACCAGAAGGATGGAGAAAATAGAAGACAGAATATCAGGACTTGAAGTTGAAGTCGAGGAACTGGACCATTCGGGCAAACAATATGAAAAATTTTAAAAATAAACACATGAAAGGAATATTCAGGAGTGGTGGAACACCACAGAAAGACCCAGTCTATGAATTATAGGCATAGAGGCAGGAGAAGAATCTCAAGTCAATGGCATGGGCCAGATCTTCAACAGGATTATAGAAGAAAACTTCTGTAAATTAAAGACAGACATACCCATACAGATACAAGAAACACACAGAGCAAATAGAACAGAAACTCTCCATGGCATATCACAGTAAAAAAAAACTAAATACACAGAACAAAGAAAGGGTTTTGAAAGCTGTAAGAGAAAAACTACAAGTTCCAGATAAAGGAAGTACACGAGAATAGCAGTCAGAAGAGCCTAGAGCAATGTGCTCCAAGTTCTAAATAATCACAAATGCCAACCTAGACGATGTTACCCAGCAAAACTATGTACCACAGTTGAAGGAGAAAGAAAAACTTCCCATGATTATAAACAGGGTGAAGGAATTCATGTCCACCAAACCAGCCCAACAGAGAATACCAGGAGCAAAGCTATGGACCTTAAGAGTGGAATAGACAGAGGCCAGAGGCATATCATAGACTTTTCTTTGTGGACATTTTATAATTATGGATTCACTGTCACCAGTAGATAACGAATTGTTCAGATTCTCCATCCACATTTGTGCCAGGATTTGTAAATCACATTATCTTAGACTCTCCCTCAATTCATCCAGACTTCCAAATTACTGTCCATACTTTACATGGTAATCTTCTAATGTCTTTGATGTCATGGTGCTGTTTATATCCTCAGTTTAAAAATACTCTCCCCCCTTATTGTAGTGCTAGGGATTGAAGTCAGTGGTTTGTGCATGCTAAACAGATACGGTACCTCAAACCCCAAATGCCTAATTGCTATAATGTCTTTCTTTAAAATCTTAATGAAAGTTCATAAATTTTTGAGTTTTTTTTTCAAAATGCCAAAGATTTGTTCTGTTTTTGGTGGAATTCATCTATGAAGCCTTTTGAGTTTTAAATTTTATGAAATTATTCTGTAAATTGGAGAGGAAAATGGTGGAGGATGTCTATTTCCTCAAGCCACATGCTGTTGAATGTTCTTGACATTAAATTTCTTCTACTCAACAAATTGAAGAAGAATGAGAATTTATAGTCTATTGATGTTGGAGCAATTTACTTATTATTCATGTCAGTCACAGGTTTTATTAAATCTCAGGTTTAAAAGAATATCTTGCTATATTATAAATAACTTTAACCTTTTAATTGAAAGGTTGAGTATTTGATTCATTGTTGTTCTCTTGAATGCTGGCACTCTTTTACTTACTTTGCAGTTTCTGCTTTATGTATGGCAAATGTATTGCCTTTAAAATTGAAGTACAGTAAAGGCTGAAGAGGTGACTCACGGGGTTCCAGTGCTTATTGCTCTTGAAGAGGACTGAAGTTGGATTACTGTATACCCACGTTGTGTGGCTCACAACTGCATGTAACTGCAGCTCCAGGGGCTCTGACGCCCTCTTTCGGCTGCCATGGACACCTGCACTCACATGCACATATCGATACACATATCCACGCAAATATACACAATTTAAAAATAATAAAATAAATCCTTAAAAATTTTGAAATGTAGTGAGAGGTTAAAATAGTTTAAAATCTTTTTGCTTCAATGAAAAAATTCTTCCAT